CTCCCTTGACTATAGATTCTGTAATACTTTCATTTTTTTGATCTACCGTTGTCGTCCATGTATCACATCTTTCTCATAATGCTTCATTATCTTTCTTCTTATTTCCCTGCTAATATTTCTGTCTATCACTTTATTTTGAAAACTTCAATAAGACATTCTTTCACTTTTAGCTCCCCTTGCTCCATCCATTGGTTCATCGGGCTGCCTAACCTTCTCTCTCTACTAGGGACGGGAGACATACTAAGATAATATTTATCATTCTAGGATTCCCACTCCTTATTTTCTGAACATTCTAGTATTCATATCTGACTATACAATTCTAGAGTGCACTATCTGTGTGTCTCACAAGGAGATCCATTACCATGTTTGTACTGTCCTTCGGAAATATCAACTAACACTAACAATCCATCCACCATTTTGGGTTACTCTAACCCCAGCCAGATCCTGATATCCCGTCCTTTTCTTAAGCCATATCTGTTAGCTCCCATAGGGCATAACTGAGATCGGTGTGGCCAATTATACATACATCTGTTACTATTGAAGGTAACCCAAAATGCTTATATTTTTCTGCCTGAATTGTGATACTGATAATCTTCATTAACTGGGTACCTCGTACCCTTCTTTACCTTGCTTGTTTTACTTGTTGAAACTTGTATCTACCTTTAGATTCTCTTATTCTTTTTACCATATGGGTGGATATATATTCATGTCTTAGGGATCCTTATCAATAAGCTTATATATTTTAGTACACACATGATTTGTTGAAGACCTCACATTTACACATCATAAGCATGATGCAAAATTGAGTTCCTCTGACTCAACTCTTCCACAGCTACATCTCTTACCCACCATCTTTCATGATGTAGGTATCATTGTATTACGAATAAAATAGAGTTTAGGAATTGAGTTCTTACAACTGAGCTCTATCACACGATCTAGAGTAAGAAAAAAGAGTGACAGTCCTAAATGCCCTGTAGCCTCCTGCTTGTAAGTGTGGTGCACAACACACCAATAAACAATACTCTACTAGACACAGCTTGTAGACTCCCTAGGACACAACTATTCTGATACCACTTTTGTCACGACCCAAACCAATGGGATGCGATGGGCACCCGGTACCTTACTCAATCGAGTACCAACGTAATGTATATTTCGTATCATACTATCATAGGTAAATGAGCCAGAAAGGCTGTCGTGAGATAACTAGAATAAAACATGAGGAATTACTTGACATAGGATGACCAACATGATGTACCGACTTATACATATGACATACATGCTAATAAGGCCGGCACGATCCTTTATATACTCAAAACATAGGCCGACAAAGCCATACAAGTATCCATATACATAACATCTGTCTAAAAGCCTCTAAGAGTAGATAAATACCATAAAGGTCGGGATAGGGCCCCGCCATACCAATCAATACATGTCCAAATCATATTGATAAAATAAGCAACTCCGGAGCAAATGGAGCACACCAACACCTTCCGTTGATCTGATAGCCTACTTGGAGGACTCTCAACCTGTCTATCGGGACCTGCGGGCATGAAACGCAGCGTCCCCAGGAAAAGGGACATCAGTACAAATAATGTATCGAGTATGTAAGGAATAAAAATCAGTAAATAAAAGACATGGGAGAAACATGGAGTAAAAGACTCAACATGTAAGTTTGAATAGCCCTGTGAATCCTTTCACATTTATAATGTCATGCATATGCGTATAAATGTCATACCATACATAGGTATATGCGTACATAACATCATCAAGCCTTTGAGGGCATCCCATCATATCATCTCATCCACTGTGGGCAAAATCATCAACGTATGGTGCTTATATAATGCCATAGTTTTTCCCTATATCCCATATACATATAATATACGCGTATATAAAGTCATCTAGTCATGGGTAAATGTACATGTATAAATGAATGAAATGCATAAGAAGTACGTTAATAAGAGTTTTCGGAATGTCATAAGATTAATATTTTTTCGGATAAACTTTATCAACTACGTATTTTTCTGAGACCCATGAACAGAAGATATAATAATAAGTCACATGAAGAATTAAGAACATAGACACCCCTAGTACTTCTATGAATATAGTAATTTATGAAAGCTGTGCGTTTGCTCATTTTGTTTGTATCGTATGAATCATGCCAAAAAGAAAGAAGGGATAGCATTAACAAACCTGAGCCGATTCTCTTGACAACCCCTCCAACACACATCAATCGTGAAAAAATACGTAACAACGAGATCGAAGTAGGAGAAAATCAGTATGATATTCTTGAGAAAGATTATACCGGGCTTCCTTAGAATATCATCACACGTTGCTGTAGCATTATGAAGTTTCCTTTGAACTCATTTTTGAAAAATCCTCCGGCACTTAGCAAATCTTAGCATCATTCTTTTAACGAGATAAGAAGACCTCTTGAAGTTATATGTTGTAGGCCCCACTTTGTGGCTTAGTCTTGGCCAAAGAATTCTCTAATTATGCCTCCTATATCATAAACCAAAGAGTCACCATTAGATTTTGAATCTCTTTTCACTTGCTGCCACGTGGGAGGCCTTTTAAGCTCATCTATATCCATAATTTCCAATTACATTGTTAATCTCCCACCAAAAATCTATAATTAACCAATTATCCACATAATTAAGAATTATCTTAAATTACTTAAAATACTACTCACTTTTGACATACTTTATATATCTTACTATCATGGTCATGCGGTACCTTGTATGACACTAGTCTATAAATTCGGGGTACTATAGCTTGGACCGTATTTTATCACAAAATGTCAAACTTCAACGAAACTCATTTTCTTCGATTCCTTACCCTCTCACCTTTACGAATTTACTTATCACTTGTTTGAAATAGCATAATACTTATAATCTCAAAATAATCTCATTCCCGAGCTTACATCGATTAACTTACGATGAAACTTTAACGTACAAAAATGCGGGATGTAACATCTATTTCTGAGCTATCATCAATTTACTTACGGCATACTTTCACGTACAAAAATATGGGGTGTAACATTACCAACATCGAGGAATAGTTTGAGAATACTCCCCGATAGTCTAGAGGTCCTAGAAGTGCATTTCGGAGGTCTTTAGATGGAGAATTAAGAACCACGATAAGCTTTTGCATTGATCGTCCCTTCGTCTTTATGTTTCACATCTTTATGTCTATTTTCCTTTTTGTAGGCATTGCTCCGAGAAAGAACGCTCCCCAAGTGTTACTAAACCTTCCCACATTCATCGATTCTGCCCTAAGACAGGATCCAATAATTATCCGCCATAAAGAGATAGGAGAGTTCGTCAAAACCTGCTTCGGTGAGGGTGGTTGGAGTAGTTAATAGTTAGCCCTCAGACTGCCTATCCTCAAGATAACGAGCCTGCATTGATTGAGGATGAGGAAACTGAGTCCCCCANGTGGGTGGGTGGGTAATCATGTCGGATCATTCTCCCTTGATATTTCTAAGCCCAACTTCTCATTTCTACGAAGCTTCTAATTTTGCATTCCCCTAAGATGTCCCCTAGACAAGTGTTGGTAAGCTTCAAGTTATGATTGGGGTGCCGGAAAGAGTGAACCTTCTGGATTATTCCGGGGAGGATGCTATATGATTGAAGGAGCTGGTCGGTCCTATGGAGAAACAATCCAATGTCGATATGTGATTAATGTACTTTAGTGCACCATTTAGGTATGTCTTAGATTTTCACCCTCTTCCTCTTCTGCTATAACTTTCACATGGTTTTGTAAATGACGTTGTGTTGCATTTTTGCTACAGGCCAATTTGTTTTTTGGCCCAGATTAGGAGGAGGTTCATACTCCATGAGGAAACGGTGGCAGAACTGAAGGAAAGTATCAGGGCTTGGGAGTCTAAATTAAAAAATATGCATGTATAATTAAGCAAGGTAAAGAAATAGACGGAGAAGTAAAATGCTACAGACATTAAGAGGTTAGAACACCTCGAGGCATTGGTTGCTCAGAAGATAGCGTATTTGAGCCAGTTGGCTGATGAACATGCAAAGCTTATTGATGACCTTACCCGAGCCAAAGTGCTAGGAAGATACCTCGAGAATGCTCTAAGATCTTGGAAGGATTCTACAAAATATTTCAAGGCTGTGGATGATACACTGCGAGGCGATAAAGACAAGGTGATTCAGGACCTTGACAGATTGAGGGTGCAATTCAGATTTACTTAGAACGTTGTCTTCCTAAAATCTAAATTATCAACATTGAATGTTGTTCATGCAGGGATCCCTAACTTGAAATAAAAAATTTAGAAGGTGAGGTAGATAGAAAAAAACTGCCTGACAGACTATGGATTTTTTCTCTCGAAGAATTCCTGGAAGGGGAGGCGTTTCTATACCTCCTAGAAGAGGACATCAAAGAGGATCATACTTAGTTGAACCCTGACCCTTTGGTTCATCAATGGTTGATCTGTCTCCTTTTGCTCAACCACCTATTGGCCCGACCCCTCAGGATCCACAACCTTCTTCCTTCCCAATAAGGGACCAGTGAAGTAACAATATACGTTTAGTGACTAGTGTCTGGTGTTCTAGAAGCCTTTTATTTTATTTTTGTGGACTTTGGCTAGTTGTGAGTGTTGTGGATACTTCTTTTGTAATCAGTTGGGACTTGTGATTAATGAAAAATAATAGTTTCCTTATTTTTGTTTACACCTTTTAGAAATATTTTTTGAAGTTGTTTGCAATTTTCTTCTAATGTTTTGGATATCTGATAGTATCCTTGTCTGTCATAAATATTTTATCTTGGAGGGACTTGCTGCTAGTTTCGAGAATGTCATCTCAAGAAAAAATCACGATGCATGATTGTCCCGAAATTTTTGGTCTCGAATACGATACGTTTGGGTCACGTAATTATATGGTCGTCCACACTCTAGAAGTTCTAAGAAGCTTCATGAAAGTGGGGATTTCATTAGGTAGGAATATAAAGTATTTATGACACCATTATTTTGGATCCTTAACATTCAATGCCGCATCCATTTAATGTACGAGACATGTGGCCGAACCTTATTGTGAGCGGCGCCTTCAGCAATTGTCGAGGTAATGATGAGTTCTCCTTATAAAAGGAGTGGTTCATGTTTTTCTTTCTAAATTTACTTCCTTAAACTATCATCTATTTTCTGCAAATACTGCCTTTTATGACCTAAGAAGTTTTGACTTTTTCTTACTCTTTTCAACCCTCATCAAAAGATTCTATAGCCACAACTCTCCTCCATTTGTGCTGATATCACCATGGAGGATAAATCTGCTGCTGCCTCCTTAAGTCTACCGTTGTTTATGTTGTGTCTCATCCGGCGAAGAAGAGGAGGACAACCAAGAAGGTTGACCTAGCATCAATATATAAATAGATGATTTCAGACATTGTACCGTAGGAATTGAAAAATGACACGACTATAATGTCATAGAGAAGACCAATAAATAGTGGAGATCAAAATGCTCGTGTGTTTACATATCCCTCCTTCAACAAGTTTGGGAGGACTGCGGGTGGAAAGAGAGAGAAGATCTCATCCTTGGACTTCCCATGGAGGGCGAGAGGCTCACCAGCAATCTCACTGGCCATTCCTTCATATGTACATACCCCTTCACCATGGGATTTAAATTTCCGATGGATGACGTTATTGCTGAGATCTACATCTGGTACAAAGTATTCCTAGCCCAGGTCGGTACCTAGGTTACCATGGGAGAATAATCAACATAACTCACTAGGGTTTGATGGCCCTGATATCCAATTGCAGCAATGACTACAATTTGAGATGGTTCGAGAGATACTTCGTGGTGTAGACCCCGGCTCCCCAAAGAAATAGAGCCTTAATTGTAAGGGATTTTGTTATTACCCTTTATTCATTTTGAAATTTGCTATTAATATTTTTGTGGCTTGCAGTTGTTGTAGTGGCTCTCGAGGGGGCACCTGATATTGGGGATAGGTATCTAGGGTTCTAAGCGTTTCCACCAACTTTTTGAGAACCTGGAAGGCCATTGCAGTTAAACTATCCCCCTTGAAGCAAACTACCATGTCTACCTCTATTCTGTTTTGAGTGCTCTTCTTTTTATTCTACCTCCCTTTTGTTTTCTTTAATGTAGCCAAATTTCTACATGTTTGGGTCTTGATAAGGGTCCTCGATATCAAGTTCATCCTCCTGTCGGCCTTCTAGTTTTGGGGGCAGATGCTTTTTGCAGAAACAAAAAATTGCTCGTTGAAACACAACAGGAATGCGCTGCTGACGCTCACATAGCACCACCTCTATCTAAGGCTACTAAGAGGAAAAGGACCTCCGAGAAGAGAGTTGCATGTCCTGGAGTCAAAGGGAGAAGTCCCTGAGATGTTCCCCGGGATGTTCAGAATGGCTCCATTGAGGAACCTATGTGCCCCAACCTTGGTTTGGTCAATTTTGAGGAAAATGATCCTCGACCTGTCGCTTTGTCCAGGAAAGAACTGGCGAACTTAACTCAGGCTGAGTGGCTACAGCTTGCCCGATATTCCTCATCTCGGGAAAAAGCCATAGTGCTTTTATGGGACCGTGAGGCATTACCTTCCGAAGTGAATCCTCCCACATAAGAGGAGGTCCAGCCAGAGGGTACTGTGAAAATGACAGCCTCAATTTTGAAGGGTTTTGATGCTCATGCTGCATGTACTAGTGAACAACAGGTTGCCACTTTCTCCGTGCCCAGTGAGGTTGATCTTTTCAAAGATCCCAAACATATCACTACCTATCTCCACGAGTTGGTAGGTCTCAAGGAGTGAGAGAAGATGGGTACCATAAACTCGGTGGCGCTGGTGACCCAAATGGCTTATGAAGCTACTATGGTATGCTTTCCAATCTTTTTGTTCATTATTTTTTATGGTTATGTCCTTCTAGTTGATCTATCTTCATTCTCTGTGCCGATTACTTTGCTCAACTTAGGGGCCATGAAAAGAGTCTAAGAGGACATTGCTATAGCTAAGGAGGTGGTGAAGTATGATCGTGCATTGAGGGCTGAGAATGAATGGCTCAAGAAGGAGATTGAGGGCCTCAAGATCGAGAATGAGGCTTTCTTAGAAAGGACCGAGGTAGATGAGAGAAGTGCTGAACTAAGGATGCAAAAATATCTTGGTAGCGAGGCGACTCTTAGGTTTGAGCAGAGTAGGACCAATGAAAGGCTTTCAACCCCCTCAGGTTGAGTTAACCTCGAAAGCAAGCATAGAGGTTTAGTTGAGGGAAGAGTATTCCTAGTTAGAGGCTATCGAGGGAGGATTAAGATTTGACTGGAAAGCGACCGAGGAAAGAGCCCATGTGAGCAACGCCAATCGGGAGACCCTCTAGGAAGCTTATGAAGCTCTAAAAAGGAGGATGGAGTTAGACCGATACTAGGCTATTTTGGAGACTCGCTTGATCGCTCTCACGAGGTACATATCAATTTAGTGGACTAACAACACAAGATTTATGTTCTTGAAGGTGAGGAGAGGGAAATTCGGAGGCAGCTTGATCACTCAACATTGAGTCGGATGAAGACGATTTCGAGGGCGGAGATGGTGAAGAAGAGGAGATTACTTCACATCCGGAGTCTCCATCTCCTCCAGTTCCTGCGGCTGCTCCTTATTCGGATGTATCTTCAACCTATGTTCCTAAAAGTCCACTGTTAGATCTTAGTTCACGACCTCAAGGTCCCTCTTAGGTATATTTTCGTAATTCCCGACTTTGATCCCCCTCGGTGTAAAAATAAAATATCATTTTGTGACTGTTGTTGTGCCTTTTACATATGTGTTGTAAGCTTATTGTGCTTGCAAATATTCTTTTCGTGTTTCCTTTTTTGCTTTGATCTTGTAGACTTAGTAGTTATTTTATGATTCATTTCTTCTAGGGCAATCATTTCAAGTCATGACTTAGAATTTTGTGCATAAAAGTGAGCCTTTTTATGTCTATTCGATGCTTATGAAGATAACATCTCATCTTCACTTAGGTACAAATAGTGAAAGGATTTGGCCCGAGTAGACATTTGTCCAAAAATAAAGTACTAAAAGTGTGCTTGTAAGAAAGTCGAGACAAAGTTCAAAAGAAGATTGAATTCTCATTCCTTCAAGTAAGGTACCCTCTATTGGACCATATGTACAAGTATACCATTTTTCATAATAGCTTTGTCCTGATTTATTTAAAGATCTTGTGAGATTTTGCAATCCTCCGATATTCTAATTTGTAATTTTATCTTCTATTTATCCATGTTCCTTTTGATCTTCATGACTTCATATTTGCAATTCCATATAGTGTAGTCCCCCTAGCTTTCAAGTTTGAAGAATGAAAACTTTGGCACTAGTATAATTGCTTGACAGTACCTGGTCGATTATTCAGGCCTGCCGTGACTTGCTCTCCTTCTACTCTTGTGCAGGGAAGTAAAGGGAGAGTGAGAGTTTTTAGATGAAGACAATGTCAGAGCCCTTCTAGTCAGATATTTTGACATTGGCTGGGAACTATGGTGGGTCTTGAATATTGCCAAGAATTAGTGTCGTCATCACTCGGGTTGGGCTAGCTTAATTCCTATCACTGAAAAATGTTTATAAAAATGAAATAAAATAAACTTGTAATGCATGCGTCAGGAAGTAGAACCGTTAATGTTCTTAGAAGTAGAACTGTTTGATGTATGTCACGTTCTAGTTTCCCTTCAAGGATCTGTTATCCATCTCCTTGAGCTTGTATAATCCTTTGCCTATTATCTTGATGATCCGGTCAGCTCCTTCCTAGTTGGGCCCGAGATTCCCACATTCGGCTCTTGGGGATACTGAGAATACATTTTGCAGTACATAGTCCCCTACTTTGAAGAATCAAATGTTCACCTTCTTATTGTAATACTTCTCGATTCTTTGCTTCCATCCGAATCAAAGCCATTTCCCCCGTCCTTCTAGTAGGTCCAAGCCGCTGGCTACGATATCATTGTTTGACTCTTTGGTGGTATGAGTGAACTTTAATCTTGGTCATTCTATCTCGACCGAGATGAGTGCTTCAGATCTGTACATGAGGGAAAAAGGGTCTTCTATATGCTCGACTTTGTCATTGTACGGTAGGTCTATAATACTCCGGATAGCTCTTCTGGCTATCTTCCCTTGGCTTCTTCTAACCATTTCTTAAACTGTTAAGCAAGACTTTGTTAGAGGATTTAGCTTGTCTATTTGTTCTCGGGTGGTATAGAGTGAAAGTGATCCTTTTGATCTACGATCTTCAAAGAATTTTGTAACTTTGGCCCCGACAAACTGTGGTCCGTTATCAGATGCATTTTCTTTTTGGACTTCGAATCTACGTACGATATTTCTCCAAATGAAGTCCATTATATTTTTTTCTCTAATTTGCGCGAATTCATCTGCTTACACCCAGTTGAAAAAGTAATCAATTAAAATAAGCAAGAATTTTACCTTCTCCGGAGCTTGTGGAAATGCAACTACTATGTCCATCCCCCATTTCATAAAAGGCCATGAGATGAGTACTGTCATGACACATACCAATGGGCCGCGACGGGCACCCGGAACCTTACTCAACCGAGTACCAACATAACATATCTCTTTGTATCATACTATCATAGATAACTGAGATGGAGAGGCTACCGTTAGATAAGTAGAATACAATATGAAATACCAACTTATACTTAAGACATACAGGCATATAAGGCCAAAATAATCACTCGTATACCGAACATAGTCCGACAAGGTTATACAGTCTTTTACGTATATGACATCTGTCTACAAGCCTCTAAGAATACATAATTGTAATAAAGGTCGGAACAGAGCCCCGCCATACCAAACAATACACGTCTAAATCATACTGACCAAACAAATAACTCCGGAGCAAATGGAGTGCACTAACACCTTCCGCTAAGCTGATATCCTACTTGGAGGACTCTCGACCTGTCTATCAGGACCTGCGGGCATGAAACTCAGCGTCCCCAGGAAAAAGGGACGTCAGTATAAATAATGTACCGAGTATGTAAGAAATGAAAATCAGTAAATAATAGACATGAGATAAACGTGGAGTAAAAGACTCAACATGTAAGTCTGAACAACTCTGTGAATCATTAATACTTATAATGTCATGCATATGCGTATAAATGTCATACCATGAATGGGTACATGCGTTCATAACATCATCAAGACTCTGAGGGCATCCCATCATATCATCTCAGCCACTGTGGGCAAATCATCAACGTATACCAGCTGATCAGGTGGTGGTACATATATAACACCGTAACCTTTTCCCATATCCCATATACATATAATATACACGTATATAACGCCATCTGGTCATGGGTCAATGTACATGTATAAATGCATGAAATGCATAAGATTTTCGTTAATAAAATTTCTCGGAATGTCATAAAATCAATATGCCTTTCAGATAAACTTTAACAAATACATATTTTCCGAGACCCATGAACAGAAGAAATAATATTAATTCACATGGGGAATCAAGAATATAGACACCCCTAGTACTTCTATGAATAGAGTCATTTATGAAAGTTGCGTATTTTACTCGTTTCGTTTGTATCATTTGGGTCATGCCACAAAGAAAGAAGGGATAGCCTTAACAAACCTGAGCCGATTCTCTAGACAATCCCTTAACATACGTCAATTGTGACAACACGTAACGGCAGATCGAAGTAGGAAAAAATCCGTATGATATTCTTGAGAAAGATTGCACCGTACTCCCTTATAATTACAAAATCTCACATTGCTTTGAATTGTTGAAGATCTTACATGCTTATGTGATATATGCAGATACATATATGAATTACTCACGTTACCTACCATCTTATTTACAAAATCTTACTTACAAAATCTTAATGTTTGAGATAGGCTTATATATGGATGTGGGCCCCACTTTATGTGGATGACTTGGCCAACCATTGTTCCAATTATGCCACATAGTTTGCAAACCAAAGAGTCATTTATCTCCCATTTGATTTGCTGCCACGTTGAGCCCTTTAGGCTTATCCAACAATTATCCACTTAATTCCTTAATTAATTTGTTAATCCCCCATTAATCAATAATTATTTAATTATTCACATAATTAGAAATTATCTCAAATTACATAAAATACTACTCACTTTTAACACACTTTATACACCTTACTATTATGGTCATGTGGTACCTTGTATGGCACTAGTCCATAAATACTGGGTATTATAACTCGTACCGTATTTTATCCCAAATTGTCAAAACTTCGATGAAACTCATTTTCTTTGATTTGTTTACCCTCTCACCTCACGAATTTACTTATCCCTTATTTAAAATAGCATAATACTTATAATCCCAAAATAATCTCATTCCCGAATTTACGTCGATTAACTTACGACGAAACTTCAATGTACGAAAATGCGAGATGTAACATCTTATTTCCGAGCTTATATCAATTTACTTATGGCGTACTTCCACGTACGAAAATATAAGGTGTAACAAGTACAAAGTGAAGTGGTTCGGCTGGTTGATATAGTCTATCACGACCCAAAATTCCAACCCGTCGTGGTGGAGCCTAACACACTGTATAGCCAAGCCGAATATAACTATAATGAATCAAGATAACAGAAATGACAGAGTTAACATAAGTCTAAAACCTTAACATTACATAATAATACCAATACGTGATAAAATTCCCCAGAACTGGTAAATACAGAGTTATGAGTTCTAATACAGAAATGCAAGTTTGAATAGCCAAATACAAGACTATCTAAAATAATAGCAACAGTACATAAGAAAAGAGACACCAAGACTGCAGTCAAGAATGCAACTCTACCTCGTCTCTCGGTGATCAACTCCGATGTATGCCTCAACTACCGATGACTGGGCCCGACACCTGAATTTGCACAATTAAGTGTAAAGTGTAGCATGAGTACAACCGACCCCATGTACTCAGCAAGTATCATAACTAATCTCAGAGAGGTAAAAATAGCAAGAATTATAAATGATACTTGCTATAACCTGTACAGGTCATAATTTCAACAAGTATAGAACAATAATGTAATCAAGTCATAAAGCACAGAAGGAATTGTTACACCTCACAGTATTACGACGATGTTACACCCCGTAGTAGTGTACGTTGGAATTGCCGTAAGATAATTGACATCAGTTCAAGGACAAGATTATTTTGAGGTTATAAATATTATGTGTTACATTTCGCATTTTCGTACGTTAATGTTTCGTCGTAAGTTAATCGACGTAGATTCAGGAATGAGATTATTTTTGAGGTTATAAGCATTTATGCTATTTATAACAGGCGATAAGTAAGTGCCGTGAAGGTTAGAGGGCAAACGAATAAAAAAAAAAGAGTTTCGTTGAAGGTTGTCAATTTGGGATAAAATAAGGTCCGAGCTATAATACCCGATATTTATGGACTAGTGCCATACGAGGTACCACATGACCATGATAGTAAGGTGTATAAAGCATGTTAAAAGTAAGTAGTATTTTAAGTAATTTGAGATAGTTCTTAATTATGTGGGTAATTGGTTAATTATTGGAGTAGTGGGGGATTAACAAGTTAATTAAGGAAATGGGTGAATAATTATTGGATAGGCTTGATAAGCTCCCAACGTGGCAGCAAACTATGCCCATACAATGACTCTTTAATCACAAAACAAGGTGGCATAATTGGAGGAACTTTTGGCTAAGTCATCACCTAAGTGGGGCCCACACCCACTAAGGTAAAAGACTTCTCAAAATCACAAAGAGTAATGTTTATATCTAATCTACATAGCAACATGATTTGCTTGAGAGATGCTTATATCATATGGAATGGAAACGTGATTTTTCTTCAACCAAATTTCATACAAGATTATGTAATAGCAGCGTGAGATGTAATTCTAAGAGAACACGGTACAATCTTTCTCAAGAATTTCATACGGATTTTTCCCTACTTCGATTTTGCCATTACGCGTTATATCGCGATTGATGTGTGTTAGAGGGATTGTCAAGAGAATCGGTTCAGGTATGTTAAGGCTATCCCTTCTTTCTTTTTGTCATGATTCATACGATTCAAATGAAACGAGCAAACGCACAACTTTCATAAATGACTCTATTCATAGAAGTACTAGGGGTGTCTATGTTCTTGATTCCCCATGTGACTTATTATTATATCTTTTGTTCATGGGTCTCAGAAAAATATGTAGTTGATAAAGTTTATCCGAAGGCATACTAATCTTATGACATTCCGAGAAATCTTATTAACGTATTTCTTATGCATTTCATTCATTTATACATGTACATTGACCCATGACCAGATAGCATTTTATACGCGTATATTATATGTATATGAGATATGGAAAAAGGTTACAACGTTATATACGCACCACCACCAGATCAACTAGTTTACGTTGATGATTTTGCCCACAGTGGCCGAGATGATATGATGGGATACCCTCAGAGGCTTGATGATGTTATATACGTTTCATGCCCGCAGGTCCAGATAAACAGGTTGATAGTCCTCCAAGTAGGCTATCACCTCAGCGGAAGGTGTTGGTGCTCTCCATGTGCTTCGGAGTTGCTTATTTGTTCAGTATGATTTGAACATGTATTGATTGGTATGGTGGGGCCCTGTTCCGACCTTTATGGTATTTATCTATTCTTAGAGACTTGTAGACAGATGTCATGTATACGGATACTTGTATGGCCTTGTCGGCCTATGTTTTGAGTATATAAAGGATTATGCCGGCCTTATAGTCCCGTATGTCATATGTATAAGTCAGTACATCATGTTGGGTCATCCTATGTCGAGTATTTCCTCATATTTTGTTCTAGTTATCCACGACAGCCT